CAGAATCACCTGTTTATTGAGGCAGGCCAATATAATGATAACCTGTATGGCACATCAGTTGCATCTGTTAGGGAGGTAGCTGAAAAGGTATGCTGTTAAACTGATGTGTTATTGTAGAAATGTTTTGTAAGACAGGACTTTTGTTTGCATCTAATTACAGAAAGATAGTTCTGTAATATTTATTTTTAATTTTCTTCTCACATTCTTTTGTGCTAAGAAATAGTGTTACAGAATTTAATGGTTTACCAGTAGCACATGTATGCTGCTGCATGTTGCTGATGAATTCTTGAGTAATATGAATGCTTCGTTGTGAACTGCCATGTGATGAGTTTCTTTTTTTTCTTTTATGCCAGAGAGGTGTAAGTCACAAAACTAAACATGTTACCATTAACACATGATCTCATTTGAAGGAGAAAGCTCTAGATCACATTAAGTGGAGGAACTGTTTTGGAAGAGACTGTGGACCTGTCGTCTGACAGATTACTGATGAATGAATAACACATGGAAGGTGAAAGAGGATTTGGGAGGGGGTCTGTCTGGGTCAGTATTGTGCAGTGGTGTGAATTGGGTTTATGTTTCTTGCAGGGCAAACACTGCATCCTTGACGTGAGTGGCAACGCCATCAAGAGGTTACAGGTAGCACAACTGTTCCCCATCGCCATCTTCATCAAACCAAAGTCCATTGAATCCATCATGTGAGTACATGTGCTTGATGTTCGCAGTCATCTACTTATCTCTAAGAAACCAAGTTGTATAGCTTATGCCATATAAATTTGTCACACGCAAAACATGAAAATATGGTAGTCCCTCCTACTCCATCTCCCATACATCTCCATAATCACAGTTACCACATAGTCACTCTGCTCTTAGTTACAGTATTGTGAACCTTACCTAGCATCCCAAATACCGAGAATGTCTTAAGTAATGCTGATGTTCCAACACTGTATTAAAGAAATTCATTGTGTCATTTGCTACCCACAGTACAGCATTGCTAACTCCAGCAGATTGTAATTAGCTTATGAAGAAACTGTAGTCGGTCAGAATAGAAATGAGTGATAAAGATGACACATTCTGGTATTGCCTGGCCACCTACAGTCTGTATATTAGTTGGTTATTTACCTGTTGCCATTCCACCTTTCATATCTATAGCAGGAAATTTGATGTAGCCACATTACAGCCATAACCATTCATTTGTTACGGAAATTGGTTATTTCATAATTAATATTCAGTACATTTTCAAACCTATGAGTACTTAATGCTCGTAGTGTTGATGTGTCAGTGCTGTCTTCCAAAGGAAATGCAAATTTTACAACACAAAATATGAAGAGTCATGTAAATGAATGGTTAGTGTTTACAGTCATTTGAGAGATTTTCCCTCGGGCAATGAAACTATAAGTCATGTGAAATTTTCAATAACTTAGAAAGTAACAGCAGAAGTGTGTCATGTATCAGAAACCACAATGTGCAGAGTATGTCAAGAAGCAAATTTCTGTAATTTGTAATCTAATGTGTAACCTACAAAGGGCATTCCGTATATAATGCCTCCTATTTTTTTGTGTTAATATGTAATGTCTGAGCTGGATGTTGGTGGTGTCGTAGTAAAGGTTGAACCTTCCCGCCAATGTACTGTTAGTTTGGTTGTCATGCGACAGATAGCGACAGCAAAGCAGTCTACAAAAAAGGCGTCTGACATAGAAGTGCGTACAAAACAGAGATGTGTTATTGAATTTCTCACTGCTGAACAAATTGTTCCAATTTACATCCATCGACGCTTGCTAAAGGTGTACAGAGATGATACGGTGGATGTCAGCACAGTGAGGCAGTGGGTAGAGCATTTCAACAGTGGTGAAAGTGAAGTGCACGACAAACAGCGCCTCGATCAGCTCATGTGTACAGATCAGCAGATAACGACCAGGGAACTGTGTGCATGGCTTAATATCGGCTGTAATGCATTGGAAACTATATTGGGGAAGCTGGATTATTGCAAAGCTTGTTCCAGATGGGTCCTGCAGATGCTTACACAGGACCACAAAACTCATCAAATGGAAGTCTGTCAGGACCTGTGCACCAGTTTGAGGCTGAAGGTGACAAGTTTCTGGACAACATCATCACCGGAGACGAGACGTGGTGTCACCACTATGAGCTGGAATCCAAAAGACAGTCCATTGAGTGGTGACATCCGGATTCCCCAAGGAAAAAGAAGTTCAAGACACAGCTCTCGGCAGGGAAAGTGATGTGCACAGTCTTTTGGGATAGGCGGGGTGTGATATTGTTGGATTTCTTGGAGCCTTGTGAGACTGTCAATTCTGAATGCTACAAGACAACGCTGACTAAGCTGAAACCCTGCATTTCCCGAGTCAGGCCAGAGAAGCAGACAACCTTTCGCTTGCAACATGATAACACTAGACCTCATACCAGTTTGGCAACCACCGCGCACATTGCAAAGTTTGACTGGACAGTCCTACCACGTCCACCTTATAGCCCTGATTTAACACCTTCAGACTTCCATCTCTTTGGGCCTATGAAAGATGGACCATGTGGGCAACATTTTCCAGACAATGCAGCTGTAAGAAAGTGGCTGGCCTCCACTGGCGCAGACTTTTACGGGCGTGGCATACAGGCTCTTGTTTATCGCTGTCAAAAGTGCATAACGAATGAATGGTGGTGATTGTGTGGAAAAATAACTGTAAGTAGCTGAAATCTTGCTCTATTTAACTGCATTATTATGCTTTCTGTATCTGTTGTAGTTTTCATTAAAAAAAATAGGAAGAATTATATATGGAATGCTCCTCGTATATGCATTCCTGATCTCCTGTTTGTGCTACATGCCCTGCCCATCTTATCATCCCTGACTTGATCATTCTAATTATACTTGGAGAAGAGTACAAGTTATGAAGTTCATTATGCAGTTTTCACCAGCCTCCTGTCACCTCGTCCCTTTTCAGTCCAAATATTCTTCTGAGCACCCTCTTCTCGAACACCCTCAGTCTGTCTTCCTCCCTTGATGTCAGAGACCAAGTTTCACACCCATACAGAACCACAGTCAAAATTATGGTTTTGTATATTCTGATTTTTATGTGTTTAAACAGTAGATGAGAAGACAGAAGGTTGTGGACTGAATGGTAGCAAGCATTAGCTGAATTCAGTCTCCCCTTATTCACCTGATTTGGCACCAAGTAGCTTTTTATTTAATATAATATCATTAAACAAGACCTTATAGTGAAAAGAAGGCATTCCTAAAACTTTCATCATGTAAAGTTGTTGATCATAGAAATATATTTGCAGGGAGATGAACAAACGTATGACAGAAGAACAGGCCAAGAAAACCTTTGAACGTGCCATGAAGATGGAACAGGAATTTGGAGAATACTTCACAGGTAAGATGGGAGGAATGTAGTGGATAGTGCTGAATTAAACTTCCACACCAAGGAGAATTTTCCTCGAAGCCAAAATCTGATTGTAGCATCAAGTTCACTCTTCATTGTTATGTGTTTTATTGAACATTGTTGGCACAGTCCTAGGAAGAGGATGTAATCTGCTTCCTCTTCATTTCTTCTTATGGTTAAAGTAAGGTGATAGTTGTATGCAGGCTTCACATTCTTGTATTAACCATATCTTGGGATTCCAGGCCCATCTTTTGTCAGTGTGACATACAGAAATAAATAGGAAAAACTGAAACAGCATGTTATATTTCACTCATATGTGGTGTTGACATGATGTTTTGGAACAAAAATTTACATCTAATTCTATCATCAGAAATGGGCATGACTTCCATGTGTTTTGAGGTCATCCAGTGCTTCCCAAACTGTTTTAACCATGGAAGACTGAAAGTACTAGTGGAACCTAACTCCACTCCAGAATCAAAAACATATCTGCTCTTGTATTACCCTATCTCAGATTTCCACTCACATTATTCATACGTCAGACTGCCTCTGTGGTCTAGTGGTCAGAGTTCCTGGCTACAGATCCAGAAGTCCGGGTTCGATTCCTGGTGCTGCCAAATTTCCTGAGAAATAGTGGGTCTGGAGCGGGGTCCACTCAGCCTCGTGAGGATAATTGAGGAACTATTTCAAGGAAATAGCAGCTCCAGTCTAGAAAACCGAAATTAATGGCTGTGGGGATTCATTGCACTGACCACGTGACACCCTCTAGCTGCTAAAGTTGGCACTAACTTCGCTGACAAGCGGCGGTCGCTTGATCGGTGTAGTTTGCTTGCGGACTGAAACCACGGAGTTTTTTTTTTTGTGCAGTAGAACTCATTGTTTGCAGATGGTAAAGCAGGGAAGAAAACTTGTGTAATTACAGACAGTGTAATATCTANTAGTATGTATTCTGCTTCTGCGATTACGCATCTATGCTGACTACAAACATTCTTGACCTAGATCCGCAGTCTCTGTGTTGCCATCACTGGCCTAATTACTGTAAAACGCTTTTGCAAGTCTCGTAACATTTAGGCAATGCCTTAAATTTCCAATCTCGAAATTTGCGGAATAACGGGCAGCACACTTCTTAAGATGGTTCTTAATGATCTATCAGACTACGCAGTGTCACATCTCAGAAGATAGTAATTTTAGTCACTGCCATGAGAACCTCAGATCTTGCACCTTCTTGTTTGTCTTGTTACATTATGTTTCCACATGGACAGTACTTGATTAGGCATTTGTCTTTACCCTAAAAATGTACTTACTTTTTGCCAGATGTCTTTTATGTTGAAGGTTTTTTAGTATCTATTTATGTTATTGAATCCTTACATGTATATTTTCACTGCTCATTTTTCATTTCCACCTGTGATATGGCTGGTGGCAGTGTTTATTTTTCTTCAGATACATGAATAGTAGGTTATAGCTGCAGTTGTTCTGGGAGAGTGATAACTGCTGTGTTTCATCAGACTGCACACAACTGAACCTAGTAGATAGCTACCAGGATGTTCTAGTTAGTTATAGAATTGCAGTATGTGAAGCAGTTTGTATCATTACTGTAATTTTTGTGGTTTATTCCAGATACAACAAGGCCAAAGCGTGAATATGAAGTGGATGGGCGGGATTATCACTTTGTTGCTTCACGTGAACAAATGGAACGTGACATTCAGAATCACCTGTTTATTGAGGCAGGCCAATATAATGATAACCTGTATGGCACATCAGTTGCATCTGTTAGGGAGGTAGCTGAAAAGGTATGCTGTTAAACTGATGTGTTATTGTAGAAATGTTTTGTAAGACAGGACTTTTGTTTGCATCTAATTACAGAAAGATAGTTCTGTAATATTTATTTTTAATTTTCTTCTCACATTCTTTTGTGCTAAGAAATAGTGTTACAGAATTTAATGGTTTACCAGTAGCACATGTATGCTGCTGCATGTTGCTGATGAATTCTTGAGTAATATGAATGCTTCGTTGTGAACTGCCATGTGATGAGTTTCTTTTTTTTCTTTTATGCCAGAGAGGTGTAAGTCACAAAACTAAACATGTTACCATTAACACATGATCTCATTTGAAGGAGAAAGCTCTAGATCACATTAAGTGGAGGAACTGTTTTGGAAGAGACTGTGGACCTGTCGTCTGACAGATTACTGATGAATGAATAACACATGGAAGGTGAAAGAGGATTTGGGAGGGGGTCTGTCTGGGTCAGTATTGTGCAGTGGTGTGAATTGGGTTTATGTTTCTTGCAGGGCAAACACTGCATCCTTGACGTGAGTGGCAACGCCATCAAGAGGTTACAGGTAGCACAACTGTTCCCCATCGCCATCTTCATCAAACCAAAGTCCATTGAATCCATCATGTGAGTACATGTGCTTGATGTTCGCAGTCATCTACTTATCTCTAAGAAACCAAGTTGTATAGCTTATGCCATATAAATTTGTCACACGCAAAACATGAAAATATGGTAGTCCCTCCTACTCCATCTCCCATACATCTCCATAATCACAGTTACCACATAGTCAGTCTGCTCTTAGTTACAGTATTGTGAACCTTACCTAGCATCCCAAATACCGAGAATGTCTTAAGTAATGCTGATGTTCCAACACTGTATTAAAGAAATTCATTGTGTCATTTGCTACCCACAGTACAGCATTGCTAACTCCAGCAGATTGTAATTAGCTTATGAAGAAACTGTAGTCGGTCAGAATAGAAATGAGTGATAAAGATGACACATTCTGGTATTGCCTGGCCACCTACAGTCTGTATATTAGTTGGTTATTTACCTGTTGCCATTCCACCTTTCATATCTATAGCAGGAAATTTGATGTAGCCACATTACAGCCATAACCATTCATTTGTTACGGAAATTGGTTATTTCATAATTAATATTCAGTACATTTTCAAACCTATGAGTACTTAATGCTCGTAGTGTTGATGTGTCAGTGCTGTCTTCCAAAGGAAATGCAAATTTTACAACACAAAATATGAAGAGTCATGTAAATGAATGGTTAGTGTTTACAGTCATTTGAGAGATTTTCCCTCGGGCAATGAAACTATAAGTCATGTGAAATTTTCAATAACTTAGAAAGTAACAGCAGAAGTGTGTCATGTATCAGAAACCACAATGTGCAGAGTATGTCAAGAAGCAAATTTCTGTAATTTGTAATCTAATGTGTAACCTACAAAGGGCATTCCGTATATAATGCCTCCTATTTTTTTGTGTTAATATGTAATGTCTGAGCTGGATGTTGGTGGTGTCGTAGTAAAGGTTGAACCTTCCCGCCAATGTACTGTTAGTTTGGTTGTCATGCGACAGATAGCGACAGCAAAGCAGTCTACAAAAAAGGCGTCTGACATAGAAGTGCGTACAAAACAGAGATGTGTTATTGAATTTCTCACTGCTGAACAAATTGTTCCAATTTACATCCATCGACGCTTGCTAAAGGTGTACAGAGATGATACGGTGGATGTCAGCACAGTGAGGCAGTGGGTAGAGCATTTCAACAGTGGTGAAAGTGAAGTGCACGACAAACAGCGCCTCGATCAGCTCATGTGTACAGATCAGCAGATAACGACCAGGGAACTGTGTGCATGGCTTAATATCGGCTGTAATGCATTGGAAACTATATTGGGGAAGCTGGATTATTGCAAAGCTTGTTCCAGATGGGTCCTGCAGATGCTTACACAGGACCACAAAACTCATCAAATGGAAGTCTGTCAGGACCTGTGCACCAGTTTGAGGCTGAAGGTGACAAGTTTCTGGACAACATCATCACCGGAGACGAGACGTGGTGTCACCACTATGAGCTGGAATCCAAAAGACAGTCCATTGAGTGGTGACATCCGGATTCCCCAAGGAAAAAGAAGTTCAAGACACAGCTCTCGGCAGGGAAAGTGATGTGCACGGTCTTTTGGGATAGGCGGGGTGTGATATTGTTGGATTTCTTGGAGCCTTGTGAGACTGTCAATTCTGAACGCTACAAGACAACGCTGACTAAGCTGAAACCCTGCATTTCCCGAGTCAGGCCAGAGAAGCAGACAACCTTTCGCTTGCAACATGATAACACTAGACCTCATACCAGTTTGGCAACCACCGCGCACATTGCAAAGTTTGACTGGACAGTCCTACCACGTCCACCTTATAGCCCTGATTTAACACCTTCAGACTTCCATCTCTTTGGGCCTATGAAAGATGGACCATGTGGGCAACATTTTCCAGACAATGCAGCTGTAAGAAAGTGGCTGGCCTCCACTGGCGCAGACTTTTACGGGCGTGGCATACAGGCTCTTGTTTATCGCTGTCAAAAGTGCATAACGAATGAATGGTGGTGATTGTGTGGAAAAATAACTGTAAGTAGCTGAAATCTTGCTCTATTTAACTGCATTATTATGCTTTCTGTATCTGTTGTAGTTTTCATTAAAAAAAATAGGAAGAATTATATATGGAATGCTCCTCGTATATGCATTCCTGATCTCCTGTTTGTGCTACATGCCCTGCCCATCTTATCATCCCTGACTTGATCATTCTAATTATACTTGGAGAAGAGTACAAGTTATGAAGTTCATTATGCAGTTTTCACCAGCCTCCTGTCACCTCGTCCCTTTTCAGTCCAAATATTCTTCTGAGCACCCTCTTCTCGAACACCCTCAGTCTGTCTTCCTCCCTTGATGTCAGAGACCAAGTTTCACACCCATACAGAACCACAGTCAAAATTATGGTTTTGTATATTCTGATTTTTATGTGTTTAAACAGTAGATGAGAAGACAGAAGGTTGTGGACTGAATGGTAGCAAGCATTAGCTGAATTCAGTCTCCCCTTATTCACCTGATTTGGCACCAAGTAGCTTTTTATTTAATATAATATCATTAAACAAGACCTTATAGTGAAAAGAAGGCATTCCTAAAACTTTCATCATGTAAAGTTGTTGATCATAGAAATATATTTGCAGGGAGATGAACAAACGTATGACAGAAGAACAGGCCAAGAAAACCTTTGAACGTGCCATGAAGATGGAACAGGAATTTGGAGAATACTTCACAGGTAAGATGGGAGGAATGTAGTGGATAGTGCTGAATTAAACTTCCACACCAAGGAGAATTTTCCTCGAAGCCAAAATCTGATTGTAGCATCAAGTTCACTCTTCATTGTTATGTGTTTTATTGAACATTGTTGGCACAGTCCTAGGAAGAGGATGTAATCTGCTTCCTCTTCATTTCTTCTTATGGTTAAAGTAAGGTGATAGTTGTATGCAGGCTTCACATTCTTGTATTAACCATATCTTGGGATTCCAGGCCCATCTTTTGTCAGTGTGACATACAGAAATAAATAGGAAAAACTGAAACAGCATGTTATATTTCACTCATATGTGGTGTTGACATGATGTTTTGGAACAAAAATTTACATCTAATTCTATCATCAGAAATGGGCATGACTTCCATGTGTTTTGAGGTCATCCAGTGCTTCCCAAACTGTTTTAACCATGGAAGACTGAAAGTACTAGTGGAACCTAACTCCACTCCAGAATCAAAAACATATCTGCTCTTGTATTACCCTATCTCAGATTTCCACTCACATTATTCATACGTCAGACTGCCTCTGTGGTCTAGTGGTCAGAGTTCCTGGCTACAGATCCAGAAGTCCGGGTTCGATTCCTGGTGCTGCCAAATTTCCTGAGAAATAGTGGGTCTGGAGCGGGGTCCACTCAGCCTCGTGAGGATAATTGAGGAACTATTTCAAGGAAATAGCAGCTCCAGTCTAGAAAACCGAAATTAATGGCTGTGGGGATTCATTGCACTGACCACGTGACACCCTCTAGCTGCTAAAGTTGGCACTAACTTCGCTGACAAGCGGCGGTCGCTTGATCGGTGTAGTTTGCTTGCGGACTGAAACCACGGAGTTTTTTTTTTGTGCAGTAGAACTCATTGTTTGCAGATGGTAAAGCAGGGAAGAAAACTTGTGTAATTACAGACAGTGTAATATCTATTGCAGACATAGTGGGAAACATTAGATTTTATTTTGAGAAAATTGCTCTGTTGAGGCCACAGAATAATGTGGTAATGAAGGAGTTAAGACTCACAGGTTACACAGCATAATGTGAACTATGTCATGATTTCAGCTGTAGTGCAAGGTGACACACCTGAAGATATCTATGTGAAAGTCAAGGAGGTGATCCAGGAGCAGGCTGGGCCCACCATTTGGGTGCCATCAAAAGACCAGCTGTGACGGGGCGCCTCGCCCTCCCCTTGGACCCTGCCTGCTCGCCATGCCCATTGAACAGACCGTACAGCACCATGCTAGGCCAAGATATGTTCAGTCTGACTTTTCCTGATTGCAACAATTTGCTGTTGTGAAGGAGTGCCAAACCTCAGTTCACAAAGTCAGCTGGTGCAAGAAACTGTGTATTCGGGGCAAATTGTGCCAGGAGCGGGAGGACAGGCCAACAGGAAGGAGAGTGGCTATAATGACTTGCCAACTAGGGAGTGGAGGAGGAAAATCAGATAACCTCAAGTCACAATGATTGCCCCTCCCCTATCCCTTTTGGTGTTTCAAAATGTACATTGTAACACTAGTTGAATGAATTTTCAGACTGGACGTGTACAGACTGCAGTGATAATTACAGGCAATGTGTTATCTGCCCACCATGGCTCCAACTTATTTTGCCTTTTTTTTAACAAAGACATTAAATGTCACCATACAGTCATTTAAAGATCTGTTAACTCTTAAACTGTACCCAAAATTCACTTACTGCAAATTGTTTCTTGTTCTTCACTAATCGTATCACCTCGAAACAGATGCTTTATTGAATTGTGATGTAAGTTATGCGGAGTGTTCTAATGTTCATGCAATGTGTATATGTTATCAGCTGGAACAGGGTTTTTGTTCCCCTGATAAGATACCGGGAGATTAGCCCAATTTTGTGATTCTGGTGACTCGTCACTGGCCAAACCTTTTTCCTCAGAATTATTTAGTAACATATTTTTCATAGCAGTTTCCCCTTATTTGCAACATAAGTGGTACATAAAAGTATTTAATCTTGAGTGTAATTGTAAGTTGCTTGTTGGGCTGATCTGCTAAAGACAAGTGTTGTAAGGCCATGTGATGTTCTGATAGTCTTTGAAGTGTGATGGTGACTGATATTAACTAATCTTTTCTATCGTAATTTAATGCAAATTTTAAACCCGTTATGGGTTGTTGGATACTCTTGCAGTTATGATATCTAGTATAATGAAGGAAACAGCTCCAGATAGGCAGAAGAGGTATGGTACATGATTATTGCAAGTCTTGAAACCCTGCCACAGACAAACAAAATTGAAGGCGTTTTTGAAGAGTTCTTTTTATTGATCATTTAAATGTGCAAGTTTGAGGTAACAGTAACTGGGTACTATGTATAATTGTGTTGTTCCATGTGGTATGATGAGTCATGGATTTTTAAATTTATGATAGAGTTTTGGGTTTACAAGAAACTTTGTTCCTAGTAACAGCTCATATAAATTTCTCATATTTTGTATGCCTGGTGCCTCCATCAGATGTGGCAGTGTTACAGACATGCACTACAGCATCCCTCCTTTCAGTACTCTTCAACATGATACTCCAAGCAGCAATAGATCTTTCTTTTTTTACCATTATCCAGGTCACTGTGTGATGAGTGAGGAAAAGTAAGGTGTGTATGCTTTCCCATGGAGAAACTTGTTTGTTATATCCAGTGGCTGCAGCTGTGTAAAAGTGTTGTTGAATAATTATGTAAACAAGAAAATAATTGCCCATTTCATTGAAAGTGTAAATAAAGTTACATCCCCTTGAATATGCAGACAGAGAAATGACTTAAACATATACAAGGTCTGGCAAATAAGTTCAGAGACTAATTTTCTAAAAAAATTATTTTAAGAGCTGCAGATATTAGCAATTATAATTTTTTAAAATAATCTCCCTCCAGTTCTTTACAATGTTCCTAGCAGTTCAGTCATTGTCCAAAACAGTTTTTAAAAACCTAAGTAGGAATGTTTGTCGGGATTTCTTTCTCACATGATTTAATGCCCTCAACATTTAAGAAACACTTCCCTTTCAGCACACACTTGAGTTCTGGAAACAGCCAGAAGTCAGGTAGAGCCAAGTCAGGAGAGTACGACAGATGATCCATGGCATAGATGCCTTTTCCTACTAAAAACTGCACCACTCAAAACTGAAGAATGTCGGGCACATTGTCATGGTGAAAAATCAGAGTGATCTTCACAGCTCTCCTTACTGGTAGATGATACTCCCAATATTGAAAAAGCAGATCAACATTGCTTGATCATGTACTTTGACATCCCTGCTTTCTTTGGCCGGGGGGGGGAATTATTTGATCTTACTCCATGGACTGGCATTTGGACTTGAGATCAGAACTCATAACACTATTTGTCACCAATGATGACTTGATCCAAAAAATTATCTTCTTGAAGTTGTTCCAGAAAGTCTGTGCACAGAGGGAGATGTCTGTCCTTTTATCTCTCCATCAAGTTTGGTGTCACGAACTTTGCTGCTAACTTTCTCAAGACAAGATCCTGTACTAAAATTTTCCTAACAGTTTCTTTGCTTATATCGAGTTCGTCAGATACCAGCCTGCGAGTTAACCTGCGCAAGTTCCCTGATTTTAGCGACATTTTTGTTCATTCGCATTGTTACAGGAGCACCTTGCCTTTCATTGTAATTCACATTTTCTCCACATTCTCCAAAACATGCCACTTAAAAACATTACTCTTAATCATAGTAGATTCAACCTCTTAACATTTCACTTGGCAATTTTTGCAGCTAATACAAAATTGGACGTTCACTCTTTTTTCCATTTTACACTCCATTTTTATATCAGGACAAAGTTGACAACACACAGTGATCTAATTATCTACTGTTCAACGACTACAGAACGCAGCTTATCCAAAGTTTCCATGTGAACTCTGTCTTGTTGCATCATCAAACATACCAAGTAACCGTTACCAGGTGGCTTGGTGCAAAATTAAAAATTAGCCTCATAATTTATTTGCCCAAGTTTGTATAGTCTTTGCCTTCTCCACCTAATAATATCCTTGAATACCTTTACCCTGTGACAGAATTGCTTAATTTCCTGTCCTTTGCTTTCTTTCATTAAGAATGTAAGTTAGATTCTTTCATCAAGAATGTAAGTTAGAGCAGTCAAGTGCTACTTGAAAGTAGGGCATAGTAAAATGTGTTAAATTCTTATGTTTTTAGTGTGAAGTGCATGGAATGGACACGTGTCCATTTGTTTCATTTCTAAAATTAGTCATTCAATTTCAGTCATTTCAAATCTCATACCTCAGATCTGGTATTTGAGATTGGTGTTGAAAGTGGCCAGATGAATTTTAATTTCATCCATATTGGTTCAATATCATGTGAGATTTAAATTCAGCTTCATAAAATTTCTGAAAAACCTCTATACAAATTTGTTATATGTACTACACGTACAGATCCCACTTTGTAACTTATGGTTGTACTTCTGAATACTAGCGCCTGATGGTACAGAGAATGTGTAATAAATGAACATGGGGGACAGTGAAGGATACAAACCACAAAGAATGAATTTGGAATTTACGTGTATAACTGTCAGAAATTGAATAGCTCTTGGCTATGTGGTGAGCTGGGATGGCTCAGTCAGTATAGTGACTAGGCTATAGAAAGCTGAAGCAGGGTGAACTGCTATCCCATCAGAGATACTTGCATTCAACTTCATAACTTTTGCTCACAAAATATACAGAACATGGGTTTCCATTTATTATTAATAACTGCAGTAGTATGAGGACCTCAAGAATATGAAATACACTCTTGTTAACAAGATTACTTTTGAATTTAATAATATATAAAAAGTAATAAAATAATTGCAGAGTTATGATGAACATTATGAATCTGAAGGTGCTCATCTTTACAATTTTAATAGTGCATGGAATAATATTACCAAAATAATAAAATAACTGACATAATATAGTGAACTTTACAAAGCTGAAATATACTCATGATTGTAAGTGTAGTATTGAATGGGCTAATATAAAAAATAACGAAAATATTATTAACAACTTAATTTTCTACCCAGCAAATTAATAATAAAATTCAATTACAAAATCCAAAGTGATACCTGATATTGATTCTGCTCTTCAGTGTTTCAAGCTGAAGTAAATAAACTGAACACATGAAGTCAGTGATAAAGTAATACTACTTCATCATTGTTACTTATACACAAATAACCGTGTGTGTCAGAAAACAAGCTCCAATTAAATTCTCTACTCAAACATAATTCTTTCAGGGTAAAGTGCATAATGAACGCTGATCATCTCTCAAAGCGAATATACCGAAATGAAAGAGACATAATGGCAAAGTGAGGGAGAGATGGAGCTGAAGTTCAGAATAGGTTTGTTGTACATAATCACTGATTGTAGACGGGGATGACAATGATGTTGATAAAGTGCTCAGTACCAGAGTTCTAAGACAAGTGCTTGTGGCTGCATGGTAGTTTCTGCTGCTGCAGCACTGTAATTGTTTATCTTCAATGTCACCTTCTCCCACTTATGAAAAATTTAATAATGCTCATATGAGTGGTTGCCACAAATATTCTTCCAGTAATTTAATAACAGCCCTCTGCTAATTTTCAGTAGCCAGTATGATAGCATGATGTTATGTCAAGTGACTTATTACAGTTATAGTTACACTGGTATGGGCAGGACATTACAAGGCAAAAATAAGGAAGCATTACTTTTTTTAATGACATGTGCCAGGATTTTCGTGTTCCTCTTTGTGCCCCTCTGACTGGCTGCTTCAGTCTTTAACCTGTTCCTTTGCGTACATCATCAAGGAATATATATGAATTCTTGTGACACCCATCACACTACCACCAACTGGTCGTTGGTGGTAAAGCAAACAACTGGCAGACCTAATCCATAAAGTAAACTTTGTTCTTAATAGCAGCTATGATATTCTGTTCCATTGAATTCAAGTGAGCCACCTCTTCCATCACAGACTCGCTTTTAGTTACAGAAGTACCAACACACTACCAACTTTCTGAAAGACAGATGACTGTTCTGTATCACTGTATCCATCAAATGTGTGAATACATTGTTTGATATCACTCGAGAAGTCAGACATATCTTGCATGCATCACAGTTAATACCACGAAGCAGCCATCTGGCGAGAAAACCATTGACTTATGCTTCCGAGAACACTTTGATGTCACCAGTAGGTACAACAGCACTTACTTCTCCTTGCTGTGGAACATGGAAGCTGGCAGGAGCATTATGACAGTTCTCAATGCTGTTATTTGTGAAGAGCTTAGGTAGAGAAGACTCAAGTGCCCTGATCAACAATTGTAGGTTAGCCAGAAGAGTAGTACTATCAACCTCACAGTTCCCCACAGACCTCTAAAAGCAAGCCCACTGAAGATGTTAGTCTTCAGGGCATCTCCAAACTGTCCAACAGATGGGTTATTGTTTGAACCATAGTATGAATGAATGCCTCCAGATGTGTCCTCAAGGGGATCCTGATGCAGACATCAGGTGTGAAGGCACATAATACCTGCCTCTTTCACTGTCCTCCACACATGTTGGGCAGCAGAAATGTTAATTAGCCACACACTTTGAGAAGGAGGATGCTGAAGAAAGCCAGGTTTACTGTCCACGAGGATGTTTCAACTATTTATCTCTTTGCTGATTAAAGCCAGAACTAATACATTTGTTTTGCTGTGAAGCTTGACTTTCACAAGGAAATATAACTGCCAATCAAAATAGGGGGAGGGGAGGAAGCCTTCATCTGAGAATCTAGGTTGTTGAACGGTAGTAGTAGGAGTGCAGTGTTGTCATGTTTCATCATTTAGTGAAGGAAAATGAGTGGCTTGGAAAATGCCAAATGGGTGGTACATAACCAATGTAGGAAAATTATATACAGTGTATGACAGTGAGGCAGATGGTGAAGACAGAAAGCTAAAAGTCAAAGTCTCATTGCGACTGATGGTCAGTCAGTAAGTCTTGGTGTCAAGCCGCCTTCTGGGGCTCATGACCAGATATGTTACTGTTTGATCGTTACGGTCTTGTTCTTCTCTTGTTCTCTTTGATGAGAGGATGGGTCTGTCTTTTGTATATGCTGCTGGTTCTTGCCAGCGCAGTCTTTCTCGGATCTGAGTCCCTTGGGACTCAGATTTGAGACTTCCCCTTTCGTCGCCACCTACGACTTGCAGGGTCACGGTGGAAGTATTTGACCCCGCCTCCACACAGGTGCTCCACCTTAACAACACTCTTTTCCAACCCACCTTTGTTTTGTCAGCTCAGTTGGAATGGTGCTATCCCTGCTACACCTGCTTCTACCTTAGGATAGAGTATGATGGACACTGCAAGTTGTCCCCACAGTTCAAAAGGTTAGTATTGGTACAGTAAACTAGCTGGGTCAGCTTGCATGAGACTCAGGGTAGTGATGCCGAATTAAGCGGTATTTTGAGGGTTGATCCAGCTTGATGTTCATTCACTTATTGTTCTCCAAACCACACTGTTTAATTTATTGTGTGCTCATGCTTTAAATTATAACATGTTACTTAATCTACAAACTATATCTCAGAGCATGTAAGGGTCACATATGTACACTTCAGAATATGGTGAAAAACTCCTTTGTGTAATGGCTTGCACATCCCACACTGGGAATTCGAAAGAGTTCGAATTCTTCATGGTGCGGGCATATACATGTCATTCCATCTTCCTAGGGAAGTTTGAAGGAGGCAACTCAATCATAATGACCCTCATTCACAGGCATTCTGTCACACTTTGGTGTATGACTGACTAATGGGCCATACTATATTTTAAACTTTTCCCATATGTTACGCAATGGTGCAGTGCATTTGGTTAAATCAGTTTGATATTGAACGTTCATAAATATTCGCTGCTAGTTTATTATGTAGGCAAATTAGCCCAGACAGTCAAATGTGGCAGCCATGCTCGTCGTGTTGATCGTGGTAATGGTCCCAGGACGCATCGAAATATTATCAGTTGAGCCACCGCTGCTACGCTACCACGGATCGCTACTACCATGACCATCACGGATCACCGTACGCGACTGGTTGACATGATATGACGCTATTTTACGAATAAGCAACAATGTGTTCCATATTTCTATGATTGGCTTCATGGTTCGACATAACTTTCTGATTGCTTTGTCTGTTATTACGTCATGACTTGAAGATTTATTCGTATTGAAATTGGACTACGCTATGTCTTTTATATTCGTTGATATTATGTATCACCTCTTAGGCCTTTGGCAGGACAAACGCTGGCATAGACAACATAATAAAAACAATTCCTCAAACCATGATTCCAAATCAGTTATTATAGTTTACGAAGAGTATGGATATAATTAATTAACGATTTTGTTTAGTATTTTATAAATCTAATATTAAATGTATTACACTATAGTGATCATATTGCAGTGATAGGAGAAATATTTCGAAATGTAAAGGTAGTAGTTGTGATTTGTTGCTAACGATTGTTAGCACTGTCGTTTTCAAGCTGGGTTCCGTAGGTGCCGGTGTTGTTAGTGTTGTTTTGGGTGTTATTTTCGAAGATTTACGCTCATTTCAGCACTACTAAGTTCTTTCAGCTGATGTTACTGGTGAAAATAGTTCAAATATGAGTGATATAAAATCATTTTTTCATCAGTGGTGTACAAAACAGAAAGTGACTCCACAGTTTGATATTCGACCGACAGGTCCAAAGCATCGTCAGCGTTTCTTGTGTGAAGTGCGTGTAGAAGGGTTTGATTATGTTGGTGCAGGCAACTCAACCAACAAGAAGGATTCACAGAGCAATGCAGCACGAGATTTTGTGCAGTATCTGGTACGCCAGGCTGTTGTCAGTCCGAAGGATCTTCCGTCTGAGCTTGGTCCCGGAACTGATACCAAAGATGCAACACCATCAGAATTGCCACCTGGAGGCCCTGCTGCACCTCATGTATCTCTTGGGCTCACGCGCCCTGTTTTCCAGCCTGGAATGGGCCCGAATGAAATTGGTGAGGCATATCGTCCATACCAACGTGATGGAGATCAGCCACAAACCTATATGGACAGATTGGCCGAACAACAGAAGGTGGAAGAAGCGGAGGACTTAGATGTAAACGCAAGTATTCATGGCAACTGGACGGTAGAGAATGCGAAATCTAAGTTGCACCAGTTCATGCAGATGCATCGTATTCAGACCGACTACAAGTACACCCCTGTGGGACCAGATCATACCAGAAGTTTTGTTGCAGAAATGAGCTTCTTTGTGAAGCAATTAGGAAGAACTATCATGGGCCGAGAGACAGGTTCCAACAAACAGACAGCATCTAAGAGTTGTGCACTTTCCCTGGTGCGTCAGCTGTTTCATCTAGGAGTAATAGAAGCTTTTAGTGGTACTCTAAAGAAAAACAAAGAGAGTGAACAAATGAAACCATATGAAGTAGCACTTAGTCCTGATTTGGAAAGGCAAGTGGCTGATGTACTAGCAGACTTGCAGATAAAACCAGTATCAATTCCCATAGAAGGTGGAGCAGGACCAGTATCTCTGCTAACATCACATGTTTTGGACGATTTTATAACGTCAAAGCCTCAACCAGCAGGTGTTGTGCCCTGGTCACCCCCACAGCCCAACTGGAATGCATGGACCAGTTGTAACATTGATGAAGGTCCTCTTGCACAAGCATCCATGGATCAAATCAATGAAGACCTTGCAACGAATTTTCGAGATAAGATGCAAAATGATACTGTGCTTCAAGGCATGGTAAAAGAGCGTAGTGCTCTTCCTGTAGCTGCAATGAGAGGGGCTATTATGGAAGCCATTAATGATAGTTCTGTGGTTATTATTAGAGGAAATACTGGCTGTGGAAAAACAACACAAGTGTGTCAGTATATATTGGATGACTACATTCAATCTGGGCAAGGTGCATATTGCAACATTGTTGTGACTCAACCTCGACGTATATCAGCTGTGTCTGTGGCAGATCGTGTGGCTAATGAGAGAGTAGAGCAACTAGGTTTGAGTGTAGGGTACAGTGTACGCTTTGAGTCATGCCTTCCAAGACCTTATGGAGGAATTTTGTTTTGTACTGTTGGGGTGTTACTTCGAAAGCTTGAGAATGGCCTTCGAGGAGTGTCACATGTTATTGTTGATGAAATTCATGAACGTGATGTCAACAGCGATTTTATAATGGTTGTTCTACGTGACATGATCCATACTTACCCTGATCTGCGACTAATTCTTATGTCTGCTACCATTGACACTACTCTGTTCAGTGAGTACTTCAACAAGTGCCCTGTTGTTGAAATACCTGGTAGGGCATTCCCAGTGCAGGAGTACTACTTGGAGGATTGTGTGCAGATGTTAAACTTTGTGCCACCAGCTGATACCCGAAAGCGGCGTAATAAAGAGAAGGATGATAGTGAAGGAACAATAGGTGCAGAGGATCAAGATGAGAATCTCAATAAGATGGTATCTTCTGACTACACTCAACAGACTCAAAATGCAGTAGCTCAGATGAGTGAGAAGGAGGTAAGTTTTGAGCTGATAGAAGAATTGTTGAAATATATCAAGTCATTGGGCATCCCAGGTGCAGTTCTGGTATTCTTACCTGGGTGGAACCTGATTTTTGCACTGATGCGTCATCTTCAGCAGCATCCGATTTTTGGGAACCAGGGGTACAGCATCATTCCACTCCATTCACAATTACCGAGAGAAGATCAGCGCCGAGTTTTTGAACCCGTACCAGAAGGAGTGACAAAGATTATCCTTTCAACAAATATAGCAGAAACCTCTATCACAATTAATGATGTTGTGTATGTGATAGATAGTTGCAAATCTAAAATGAAATTATTCACTTCACACAATAATATGACCAACTATGCGACAGTGTGGGCATCAAGAACCAATCTTGAGCAGCGGAAGGGGCGTGCAGGTAGAGTTCGGCCTGGATTCTGCTTCCACCTGCTCAGCAGGGCTCGGTTTGAACGTCTCGATGAACACATGACACCAGAAATGTTCCGAACTCCGCTCCATGAACTTGCTCTTTCCATCAAGCTCTTACGACTTGGGGCCATAGGACAGTTCCTCAGTAAAGCCATCCAACCTCCACCAATAGATGCAGTCATTGAAGCTGAAGTGCTACTAAGGGAAATGAAATGTCTAGATAGCAATGATGAGCTAACCCCCCTAGGCCGAATCCTGGCAAAGTTGCCAATAGAGCCTCGGCTTGGGAAGATGATGATCCTTGGCTGTATGTTCTTTTGTGGTGATTCTCTGGCTACAATGGCAGCCAATAGTTCAACGTTCCCTGAAGTGTTCACAACAGGAATGGATCATAGAAGACTGACATACCAGCAGAAAGCATTCGCTGGAAATCGTTACTCCGATCATGTAGCCATGTTGAATGCTTTCCAGGCCTGGGAAGAGGCACGCATGGGTGGTGAGGAGGCAGAGGCTGCATTTTGTGATCACAAGATGCTCTCTTTGCCCACATTAAAGGTCACATGGGAGGCCAAGAACCAGCTGAAGGAACTACTGCAGTCCATAGGATTTCCTGAGGAGACAATGGTAACTGCTGTGTTTAATTACCAGGGGGGTGCTGATCCAAAGCTGGATATGGTTACAGCTTTGATGTGCATGGGGCTCTACCCAAATGTTTGCTTTCACAAGGAGAAACGCAAAGTTCTTACAACAGAGTCAAAAGCTGCATTGATCCATAAGACATCAGTGAATTGCAGTAATTTGGAGCAGCATTTCCCTTTTCCTTTCTTTGTATTTGGAGAGAAGATCCGAACACGTGCTGTGTCATGCAAGCAGATGACCATGGTGACCCCTATTCATCTCTTGCTGTTTGGTTCGCGCAAAGTGGAGTATGTCGACAATATAGTGCGTCTTGACAACTGGATCAATCTGGCCATGAAGCCTGATGTTGCAGCATCAGTAGTTGCACTACGTCCAATTCTGGAAAGTCTAGTGGTTCGGGCGTCACGTGAGCCAGAATCCATCACAGAGATGTCTCCTCTTGATGAAAAGGTGATGAATGTCATCAAACAGCTTTGCAGAATGAATGCTGGACGCCATGGCTTGCAGCAGGTAGGCATGGGAGGTTTTAATAGTCGACGCCCATCACGTGGCCGTGGCTTTAGCAACAATGGACCTCCTCCAAAGATGATGCGTGGTGGTGGTGGTGGCGGCGGCGGCGGCGGCGGCAGCTTCAGAGGAGGTTATGGTAACCAAGGTAGAGGTGGTTATGGTTTTGGTGGCTATGGTTCTTATGGTGGAAGAGGAGGTGGGTATCGTGGCGGTGGAGGAGGTTTCAGAGGTGGTTATCGAGGTGGATACTAAAGAACATTCCCGCTCCTTGTTGCTGAAACTGTTCAGTAGTTTTACACTTTGAAGATTTGATGCATTGTTTGTAAGAAGACAGTGATCAGGAAGGTTAATATTTCAGTTACTTTGTATCAGTATGTAAATGCAGTTGTACCATAGTACATTTATGAGTATTGTGTGTAGTGTAAGGATGACTGAACATCATAGATTTTTCATCTTATACTGCACTGAATATACACTCATCCCTTGCTGTAGCAGCTCATTTATTCCAAAAGATAATCTCATGAGCAAAATCTTGTATAGTGAGGATTAAATTTGCATTACTTTACAAGTAAAATCTTACATTGCATTCCCAGAGGTTCGAGAGTAAATAGAATTAATTTTCATCATAACATAGTACATAACATGTACTTAAGTATAATGTGTGAGATGATCCTTTAGAAGTTTGAAGCATTGTGCCTTCTTTCTTTTTTTCTTTGAGATGGCATTCTCTTCTAAGAAGATACTCTTTCATCAGTGCTGAAAATGAGCTTTCATCTCCGTAATGATTTTTGACAGCTCCTTTTGGAACACCTTTGTTGCCTCTATATACATGCTGTTTTGCTTGATGTTCAGAGGCTTTGCAAATTTGTATGATTCGTAAATGCCTCAGACAGCTGTGACTGGCTTTAACTTTATGGTCCATCATACCAGTTGTCTCTTTTTCCTCAGCCTTCTTCTTCAAGCACTTGAATGGTTGTAGAGCTTTCTTATGGGTAACGAGGATGCTGAGATTCATTCTTTATTGGTTATGGCCATTTATCAAGTAAGTTAACAGTCTTTTCAGTTTCATGAAAACCTTATTTCTTCTTTTTATCATTGTATCTTTTTTTGTCATGGTTAACAGACTTTCTTGTCCATGACTTTCTTGGCTTTGCCAATGCTAGAATCACCTGCAACACTTGTTGGATTCATGGTGCACAAAAAAGTCACACCAAGATCATTACATGATTATAACTGAAATGCAAAGAACGATGTCGGCACACTGAAGTAGATTTTTGGTAGTCTTGATGTCATGTGCTGATGTGATTATGAGCACTGACCTCAAATGAGTGAAAATTGAACTCATTTAATTAAAAATATGTATGGAAATACATGTGTCATATGAGTGAAAACTCATGAAACTGTTGCTCATTAAGTGAGGGATGAGTGTACTTTAAAATTACACAGATTTAATGGTGCCATAATTATTTTATGAGACACGTTAGTATACATATTTAATTATGGCATAACAGGCGGAAAGTTCTTTGAGGACAAAAGTACACTGATATTAGTGTGTACTTATAAACTCCCTTTTGTCTTCAGATGTATCCTGATGCCTCAAAACGTTTCTTGTTTGTATGCATATTTATTATTTTTTCATTTAAATGCAGATTGTGACTTACAGTAGAGTATTATATTATCACAAATAATACATTAAAGAAATTATTACTGTATGTTCAACCTGCTGTGGTTCTTCTAACTGTATGAATTTTAGAATGTGAAAACAGTTCTTCAAAATCTGTTGGAGATATTCAGTCAGACATTTCTTTTTCATGTGTGTTAGTGTGCTGCGTATTGTTTCTGCAGCATGTAAATAGCCATTAATTAGCTGGAGCCTGTGTACCAGAATTGGTGATATTGATGGACAGATGGCAGTTATTTCATTTTGACCTTTTTTTCTATTTTGGGAACATGTGCCGAAGGAATTCTGAAATATGCATGTAGTTATTGTGGTATGTGAGCATTTTAGCTTTCAGCATGGGATATATTTGAATTCATTCAGGGTTTTGTAGTCAGGCAATGTGGCTAGTCCCAGAAGTCAGTCTCTTGCAGTCATTGTGACAGAGTAGCAGCTTACTTTAGAATCAAGTTGGATATTTTTACTGTTTTCAGAATTGGATAAAATGGGCCTTTTTTTTTTGTCATGAATCTAGTTTAAACAAAAATTTGGTTAATGGCAGTTGTGAGGAATGAACTGGAATATCATTGTGAAGATGTATAGTTCTAGGATGAAAAGCAGTGATTCAGGTTGGCGTGTGTTAGAGTGATGATGCTTATGAAATTTCCATCCAGCAATCTTAGAAGAAACTTTTAATTTGACTTCACCAAGTCAATTTTATGTTGAAGTAATTAAGAGTGTGTAAACACCTTATAAAAAGTGGAATTCATTCTTGTGTCATTTAAAGTTATGTGGTGTGCTTTTTTATATGCTTTACCAGTGTAACCTGTATAGTTCATAAAATAGGTGGGGAGAGAAGTATGAAAGTTTTTGGAATTTTTAATTACAACTTTTATGTGTTTGCTGTGAGAATTAAAGAAGGCTGGCATTTCATGTTCCACATATTGCCACAACTGGAATAATACTTTTTCCAAAATTATATTTATTGTTTCCCCATAAGTATTATTTATTTAGCAGAAGTCATTTTGTGATGGTGTACTCTGTTATGGTGCTAATTGTTACAGGAAAGGGGAAAATTGTTGACTGCTGGACAGTCTTTACCCCAGTCTCATCAGTGTTCCATATATTCTTACATTCAAATTTTTATTCCTCAAAGGCAGGAATAGATTATCTTAGAATTCTTGCACACCATGTTTATTAAAACTGTTCTACTTAAGCACATAACTTTCAGAGTCTGAGTGGGAAGAATCTTATGTTTTTTTCATGAAACAGAATGACCATTAAGTCACAGCCTATATTATTTTGTTCTCTTTCATAGGAACATATTTTATTGGGTATTTTATACTTGCAGGAAAAGGTTTGGACTACTTTCATTGTTAATCTGCAGTAGATTTTTGATGAATGTTTTAAATACTCAGCCACTTCATCTTCTTAGTAAACTGAAAATATGTGGCAAGAGTTTTTAAGTTGTGTCTTTCTCCCATACTGTAAATCTGAAAAATATTATGAGATTAATTCTATGGATTTCAGAGCCTTTCCGTAATGAGCTTTGTGTTAACCGTTTTTACTCCAAGTGTCTTCAAATCTGTTTACAGTTTACTGAATTCTTTTCTCCTTGTGTGTGACTTCCACATTCCATTTTAATAAAATCTATTTGTTCAGTATACTTCCCATTATAACATGGCATTTTACATATTGATGGAATAGTGAGAGTCCAGACAGTTTATACAGTTACAAGTAAAGGACAGAACCTGGTTTTTTAAGTGAAAAACAAATCATTTCTGTGTTATATTCCTGATATACTTTCTTAAGGTTTTAAGACCGTTTAGGGTTGTGCAGGCTAGTGCACACAAACTTTTTTTTTCTGCATTATATAACACATCTTAGGTTTTTCTGGACGAACTGCCATGTGCAATCATGTATGTCTGCTGACAATGGTTTTTGTGTAATCATATTTTTTTATTTGAAGTAATTATACCTTATGTTTAAAGTTAAAGTGAAGTGTCAAGAACCTTATTTTCTTATTAAGCTATCCCTGTGACAAGCTGTGAAGGCCCATAGGGTTGTGAGAAATTGAGGCTCCCACATTTTCTAGACAGTTCACAGATGGTAGTGAGGTTGTCAGTCTTACACACTGGCCACCTTTTACCCCCAGGAAGATTCTTGTATTCATTTCCGTTAGAGGCTGAGTCAACCCCAGGGCCATAGTGCGGCTGGAAGGATTAGGCTAATTGAAAAATCCAGTGACCTCGTCGGGAATCGAACCCGCGACCTTCCTGCTTGTAACATAGTGTCTCAGCCAACTACACTATCATGGGCCCCAGAGGCTTGTTTAATCTTCTCTAATTAGGATGCTGTCCTACTACAGCTGTATGCTAGTTTTATCTGACAAGAAATAGGATTTACTTATGAAAAATTCCAGAATCATATCAATGGTATTATTAAATTTATATATTTTTATGCATTATATACAGGTGGGGCATGTGGTAGTGTAGTTGGTTGAGGCATTATGCTATGATCCGGAAGGTTACAGGTTCGAGTCCCGATGAGGTAGATTTTTTCAATTGGCCAAATCCTTCCAGCCACACTATGGCCCTGGGATCAACTCGGCCTCTAAGAGAAATAAGTACCAGGAATCTTCCTGGGGAGTAAAGAGCGTCCAGCGCGTAAGGCTGACAACCTCACTGCCATCTGTGTGCCGGTTATCTAGAAAATGTGGGAGCCTCAATGTCTCACAACCCTATGGGCCTTAATGGCCTGTTATAGGGATAGCTTTACCTTACCTTTTCCTTTATTATACACAAGTTGTACGTTTGTTTCAAAATATTAAGGCCTTTACAAGTGATAATTTCACCATTTGTCTAATTAATTTATATTTAATACAGTAGAACTTGGTTATAACGTCATCAAAGGGACCTAAAAATAGTGTCGTTATAAACGAATGTCGTCGTAACCGAAATGGGCACTTCCACAGTAGCCTTATGTTAGTCACGTAAAAATCTACCAAAAACCGAGTTAAAATGTTGCATTTTTTAGTGAAATACGTATTAAGTACAGACTAACATAACATTAACGTGGAATTAATATGGATTCTCCATATCGTTTGTACTGTAGAATTCACCAAACCAAATTCGCGGCATACATCAGCTTTTTTCCTTCCATTTTCTATTTCACGAATCACTTTAACTTTCTCTTCACTGCTTAAAACTTTCCTTTTCATTGCCATGTTTTCGCTACTGCACTTCTCTGGGTTTAGGCAGGAACACTATAGGGTAAGTAGACAATGTGAGGTCCTGTTAGACGAGATTCTAGGAAAGGAATGCAGTTAACAACCTGCCGCGTCCTCTTGCACTATTCACGCAGTCCCACCCCACACCCTTGTTTTCGCATAAAACCCCCGCTCCTCTTGCAGCCCGCAGTCGTATTCTTCCAGGACAGTCATGTCAGGAAGTAGAGAAAGTGAGGGTGGGCAGACACATCGAAGTTTCCCACGATATCAGAGAAATTCAGGAATGAAAATGACGTTACATACGAGGTTGATGCATTTGTGCATGTCATACTAAGCAAGGTATAAAAACAGTTGCTTTATGAGGAATTAGTTCGTACCATTGAATATTTGACGCAATAGACAAGGTGTTGCAGAAACTGATGTTGCTATAACCAAGTTTTACTGTATTTATATTTTACCATCTGAGTTTCTGCTAAACTCACGTGTAAAGTTGTTCCAGATACATTAGAGTTGAATATACTTCCATTAATATTGGTAAAGCGTGTTGCTAGTATGTTATGGCATCCTTTGGTAATTAACCCTAAAGATGAAAGAGTGAATTACAGTAGGGAGCTTGAGAATTTTATGGTATTCAGAATGTTAGGAGCAAGCCATAGCGAAGTAGAGTTCAAAGCTTTTTTGTCAATGTCACTGGGGTGAAGTATTTGTTTTTATCACTATCTGGATATTCCATTAGTGGTAAAGTTTGTAAAATGTTGATAAAGAACCAACATTAAATTCCTGTAGGTCCATGTACAGGGTTTGTCCGGAAAGTAATGCAATTAAGTTCGTAAAAAAAATATTCAAGAT